TGCTATTCCACTTACTCTCTGCTTCTGTGAGTTCAACTTTTTTAGATTCTATGTATCAGTGAGATCATACAGCATTTGTCTTTCTTTGCCTTGCTTATTTCACTTAATATAATGTCCTTCAGGTTCATCCATGTTGTTGCAAATGACAGGATTTTCTTCTTTTTAAAGGCTGAATTATATTCCCTTGTGTACATATGCTGTATTTTATCAGTTCATTTGTTGATGGACACTTAGGTTGATTCTTTATCTTGGCTATTATAAATAATGCTGCAATGAGCATGGGAGTGTAGCTGTTGCTTCAACATGTTAATTTTAGTTCCTATACCCAGAAGCAGGATTGCTAAATCATATGATAGTTCCATTTTTAGCTTTTTGAGGAACCTCCATTCATTTTCCATAGTTACTGTAAAAATTTACATTCTCCCACCCAAGAGTGTACAAGGGTTTCTTTTTGTACACGTACTCACCAATGCCTATTATCCTTACATCTTTTTGATAACAGCCATTCTAATAGGTGTGAGGTGAGATCTCATTGTGGTTTTAATTTGCATTTAGTGAACATTTTGTTGTCAACATGTTGGCCATTTACATATTTTTTTTTTTCTGAGACAGAGTCTCTGTTGCCCAGGCTGGAGTGTAGTGGTGTGATTGTAGCTCACTGGAGCCTTGACCTCCCAAGCTCAAGTGATCCGTCCATTTTAGCCTCCTGAGTCGTTGGGACTACAGGCATGTGCCAGCATGCCTGTCTAATTGTTTTTTTTATAGATACAGGGCCTCAATTGCTCAGGCTGGTCTTGAACTCCTGGGCTCAATTGATCCTCCTACCTTTGCCTCCCGAAGTTTTGGGATTACAGGGTTGAGCCACTGCACCCAGCCTGTATGGTCCTTTGAGGAATATCTGTTCAGGTCCTTTGCCCATTTTTAAATCAGGTTATTTGTTTTCTTGCTTTTGAGTTGTTTGTATTTCTTGCCTATTTTGGATATTAACCCCTTATCATATGGATGGCTTGAGAATATTTTCTCCTGTTTCATAGGTTGTCTCATCACTCTGTTAATTGTTTTCTTTGCTGTGTGTAAGTTTTAAAATCTGGTATGATGATTTTTAAATGTTAACTTTGCACACCTGGGAGTAAATTCATTTGGTCAAGACTTATTTTTTAAAATATATTATTGGATTTAATTATTTTGTTTAGCATTTTCTTCCAAATATGTTTATGAGAGAGATTCAAGGGTAATTTTTTTTTTTCCTTTTCGTGTCCTTACATATTTTGGTGTCATATTTGTACTCTCCTCTTAAGAATGTGGGGAAGTGTTTTTTTTATTTTCTATTTTCTGAGAGAATTTGTATAAGCTCAGTGTTTCTTCCTCAGACGTTTGGAAAAATTTCTCAGGAAAGTCACTGGGCATTAAATTTTCTGTGTGGAAAAGTTTTAAGTGGTATATTCAATTTTTAAATTACTTTATTCATTTGTTCTTATATTTCTGTAAAGAACTATCTGAGACTGGGTAGTTTATAAAGAAAAGATGTTTAATTGACTCACGGTTCTGCAGGCTATACACGAGGAATGGCTGGGAAGGCCTCAGGAAATTTACAATCATGGTAGAAGGTGAAGGGGAAGTAAGCACATCTTCATATAGCAACAGGAATGAGAGAGCAAAGGAGGATGTGCTACAAAATTTTAAATAGGCCGGGCGCGGTGGCTCAAGCCTGTAATCCCAGCACTTTGGGAGGCCGAGGCGGGTGGATCACGAGGTCAAGAGATCGAGACCATCCTGGTCAACACGGTGAAACCCCGTCTCTACTAAAAGTAGAAAAAATTAGCTGGGCATGGTGGTGCGTGCCTGTAATCCCAGCTACTCAGGAGGCTGAGGCAGGAGAATTGCCTGAACCCGGGAGGCGGAGGTTGCGGTGAGCCGAGATTGCGCCATTGCACTCCAGCCTGGGTAACATGAGTGAAACTCCGCCCAAAAAAAAAAAAAAATTTAAATAACCAGGTCTCATGAGAACTCACTCACTATCAAGAGAATAACAAAGGGGAAATCCACCCCATGACCCAGTCACCTCTCACCAGGCCGCTTCTCTAACATCGAAGATCATAATTCAACCTGAGATTTGGGTGGGGACACAGAGCCAAACCATATCAATTATATATAGAATTATTCAAATTTTATATTTCTTCTTGTGCCAATTTTGGTAAATTGTTTTAAAAGAAACTTCATTTTTTTTTTTTTTTAAATTGGAGAATAGTCCTTATAGTCTTACATTTTAAAATTGTAAGCTCTGGGAATAATGTCTACTTTTTAATTCCCAATATTGGTAATTTCTGTTTTATCTTCTTTTCTTCTTGATCAGTCTTTCTAGTGTTTTATCAATTTTAATGCTTTTTAAAAAGCCAACTTTTTACTTTGCTTTTCTTTATTTTCTTTTTATTATTCTCAGATTTCTGCTTTTGTATTTTCATTTTTATGGTTTTTAGCTTAATTTGTTGTTCCATTCACAACTTCTTGAAATGAAAGTTTATTTAATAACATTGTTCAGCATTTCTTCTCTTCTCATGTATGAATTTAAGATTATAAATATCTTAGTTTACACTTTTACTGCATTTTACTCATTTTCATTACTGATCCAAAGTATTTTTTAAGTTATTTTTTGTACCATGGGTTCTATGAAAGAATATTGATTAATTTAAAAATATATTGGGGTTTCTAGTTTTTTTTCTGTGTATGCTGTGAGGCTTGGGTCAGTGGTTATATTTTCAATAAGAGATTTTTAATTTAGGTGCCATTGGCAAATTTCCATCGATTCAAATGCAGAACTTCACATTTTTCAATGCATACATGAATTTTTGTTGTTGTTGTTGAGGTATTAAGAATAGCATGAATTTATAAAATATTAAGTAATCATTGAATGTGAAATATGTCCCATTTTGCAACTTAATATATTTTTATTAGGTTGGTGCAAAAGTAATGCGTTTTTGCCAGTGCTTTAATGGGAAAAACCACAATTACTTTTGCACCAACCTAATAATGATAATAATAATAATTATTATTATTATTATGTTATTTTGTCTTTTTTCTTTTTGAGATGGAGTCTAACTCTGTCGCCCAGGCTGGAGTGCAGTGGTGCGATCTTGGCTCCCTGCAACCTCCGCCTCCCAGGTTCAAGCGATTCTCCTACCTCAGCCTTCCAAGTAGTTGGGATTACAGACACATGCCACTATGCCTGGCTAGTTTTTTTTTTTTTGTATTTTTAGTAGAGACAGGGTTTCACCATGTTGGCCAAGCTGGTCTTGAACTTCTGACTTCCCTAGATCTGCCCACCTCGGCCTCCCAAAGTGTTGGGATTACAGACATGAGCCACTGCGCCTGCCCCTAATAATGACAATTCTTATCAAACTGCTTACTCAGAATAAAATGAATGGGTAATGTAAAGCTGAGTTTCACATTTTTATGCTATATTCTTCAGTGTTATTATTTGTTCAATACTTTTAAAAATTATGTAAATTTTTCATGGTCTGTACAACATTAAGTCAATATTGTGAGTCTTAAGTATATAAAATGGTTGCTTGTTCCATTGTTCATGTTTTGAATACAAGTTATATTTTGTGTTATTTCATTAAGAATTTGTTAAGAATTTTATGGCCTAACATGTGGCCTACTTTCTGAAATATTCCAGCTTCAATTGAAAAGGATTTACATTCTTTAGTTGTTATGTGTTTGCTTTTGATTGCTTGTATTTCTCAGTCAAATGTAGGAAGCGGAGATTAAGAAAAGGGCTGGCAGTTTTGGTGATCGAGGAGCAGAAAGTATGAGACAGTTGTCTTGGATAGTGAGAGAGGAAATGGACTGATGAAATATAAAATGATAGATGAGCCAGTACTAAGGACCTATCTGAGTACGACTCTAAAGAGGGACCAATCTGAATGCACAAATGTTTACATCAGTGATTTTTATAAGTGTGGGTAGAAGCTCTGAGTAGACAAAGATAAATTGAACTCTTTTAGAGTTTCTTTGTTATTTTTGGTATTTGGACCCTTTGCTTTGATCTGTGTTAGTACAGTTTTAAAAAATTAAATGTTGTCTCCTCTCAGCAGATCTTTTTAATATGAACCCAGGTGTCTTTAACACCAATACAATATCTTCTATTATTTTTCTTCTCTGTGTTCTCCTTCTTCCTCCATCTAGAACTTCCTTTAGAATTGTACTCCCTGGATTGATTCTCATATTTTTTACCCTTTTGCTCATCATATTTCTTTTCTTTCTGTCTTCGTCTCTTTCACTTTCTCAGTCTTGGAATTGGGAGATTGTCTTGACTGTCTTCCAAATTACTAATTTGCTCCTCTGAGTCATATTATTCAACTCTTTCACTGAATTGTCATTATTTTTTTCTTTGGTGTATAGAGAATTTATTATGCACAACCACTTGCAAACTTTAACAAGTATGGTTAGAGCAGCATTTTCTATAACAGCAACACATAAGTTGGAACCACACAAATCTTATAATAACAAGAATGAATGGGCAAAGTGGGTGGCTCGATGCTCAGACCTGAGCAGGTGTTAAACACCTGGGGGAAAAGGAAAGCTGTCCATTTATTTATTTCTGTAGGAAGTACAAAAGAGCCAAAATGAAGAAAAATGCTGTTTCATGATAAAGAATAAAGCCGTAAAGAATATCCACAAAATTGTGTATAGTGGGGACATCTGAGACAGAATGAAAACAAAGTCAGGGCAGAGCAGCACAGGAAGACTACGAAATGCCCAGGCTCTCTTTATCGCTAGTCATGATTTTTAAAAAATTTTTATAAACTTTATTTATTCTCTGCTCCTTTTTCGTAATCTAGTGATACTTTATTTTTTCAAAATATTCTTAAATCTCTCTGAGAATACCAAGAAAAATTTTAAATGAAGTTCTTTTCCCTGCATTATCTATTTCTTCTGGGGTCAGTTGTTTTCTGGTCCATTTTGGTCCTACTCTTTTGTGCCTACCACCCCTGCCCCATCCCCATCCTAACTGTGTAACAACAATCCTTGATAATCATTGTATATTTATGCTTTATTAATGTGTGTGCAGACAGCTGTTTTTATGCTTGTTGATGACTTCTTCTGTGTATTATTTTTTTCTTCAGTTAAATAATTTTTTTAAGAGTCACAGTCTTGCTCTGTTTGTCAGGCAGGAGTACATTGGCTGGCACCTAGCTCACTGTAGGCTCAAACTTGTGGGCTCAAGCCATCTTCCCACCCCAGCCTCCCAAGTAGCTAATATTACAGATGCACACTACACGCTGGCTAATTTTTAGATTTTTTTTTTTTTTTGTAGAGATAAGGTCTCACTATATTGCCAGGGTTAGTCTTGAACTCCAGGCTCAAGCGATCCCCTCGCCTTAGACTTCCAAACTGCTGGGATTGCAGGCATGAGCCACTGCACCAAGCCTATGTATGTTTTAAGTAGAATCCATTTCCTCTATTCTGTCATTCTAATCCTGTCTACTTTTGATGTTCCTGGAATTACTTTAAATTTCTGATTTGCTGATAACACCTTTTCTTATTTCTTAGAGCTTTCATGAATTGGTTTATATAAACTTTTAATCTTATTCCTCTTAGCTATTGTTGTTACTGTTTTACTTTTATATCTATTTTAAACCCTGCCATGCACTTTATATACTGTTATTATTCATGCTTTCAACAATTGTCAGTTGTTTAGTTGTCTTTTTTTTTGAGACAGAGTCTTGTTCTGTTGTGCAAGCTGGAGTGCGGTGGCATGACCTATGGTGTGACCTCTGTTGCAACCTGTGCCTCCCAGGTTCAAGCAACTCTCCTGCCTCAGCCTCCCTAGTAGCTGGAATTACAGGTGCATGCCACCATGCCCAGCTAATTTTTGTATTTTTAATGAAGATGGGGTTTGTGCCATGTTGGCCAGGCTGGTCTCAAACTCCTGACCTCAATTGATCCACCCACCTCAGCCTCCCAAAGTGCTGGGATTACAGGCATGAGCCACTGTGTCTGGCCATCAGTTCCCTTTTAATACATTTAAGAAATGGAAGAATAACAATATAATTACTTACATATTTACTATTTTTGAGTTCTTCATTCCTTTCTGTAAATCTGAGTTTACATGTAATACTTCCTTTAATCCAAATTATTTTATCAGTTCTTATAGTGTGAGTTTGTTGGTATGTACACTCTTAGCATCCATTTATCTGAAAATATATTTGTTTTGCCTTAAGTTTTGAAATTCTTATTTTTTATGATACAACAGATACAGTGGTATCAAAATTATTTTTCAGGATTGTAGAATTCTAGGTTGACAGCTTTCCCCCTCTCCCTACTAGTACTTTGTCTTCTGGCCTCCATTGCTTGTGAAGAGATGTCAGTTCTGTTTCTTATCTTGGTTCTCCAGAATGTATGTGACTCCTTTTAAGATTTTCTTTTTTTCTTTGGTTTTTAGCAGTTTGGCTATAATGTGACTAAGTATGGGTTTATATAGATTGGAGTCAGATGAATTTTTTTGAATTGGTGCTTTGATTTTTTTAAACAAACTTGAAAACATTTACCCAGTATTTTTTCAAATATTTCTTCTGTTCCGCCTATATGTATCCAATTTTGTTGCTGCTTTTGTTCAGTGGTGTGATCGTGGCTTTCTGCAGCCTCAAACTCCTGAGGGCAAGTAATTCTCACGCCTCAGCCTCCCAAGTAGCTGGGACTTCAGGCATACAGCACCATGGCCAGCTAATTAAAATTTTCTTTTCTTTTCTTTTCTTTTTTTTTTTTTTTTTTTTGTAGAGATGGGGTCCTGCTATGTTGTGAGGGCTGGTCTTGAATTCCTGGACTCAAGCAATACTCCTGCCTTGGCCTCCCAAAATGTTGGAATTACAGGCATGAGCCACAGCTCCCGGCCTAGATTTCTTGATATTGTAGAGTTTACATATGGCTTCTTTATCTTCATGCATCTTATTAATTTTTTAATGTAAATTCTATTACATGTGTATCATAGTAAACAAAATCTTTAAAATAAATTCCAACATTTAGGTCTGCTGTGGGTCCATTCCTATTACAAATATTTTCCTTTTAACTCCCCCATTTCTCTTTCTATGTTTAGTAAGTTTCACTGACTGCTAAACACTGTGGGTGATACAGTGTAGAAACTCCAGATGGTGTGGATTTCAATCTTCCTCTGAAGTATTGAATTTTGTTGTAGCTGGTGGTTAAATTACTGGCACATCACCTTGATCCTGTGGAGGCTTGGTTTTAGGCTTTGTTAGGACAGGTCTGTTTCAGTTTGGCCATTAGTTCTGGCAAGTGGCTCTTATTTTTCAAGTGTGGCTTTTCTACAGTTTCAATGGAAAGCCTGAGATATTTACCAATTCTCTGTTACGCTAAACCCTGACTCTCCAGGACCAGATAGCTGTTGAAATGTCTTCCCAATTCTTTCAGATTTCTGGCTGTTGCCTCTTCCTGGGCTTGGATTTTCATCCTATGAATGGGAATTCAGGAGTCAGCCCCAGCTGACTCCCAGTTTCCTGAGATTTCTGCCCTCAAGTTTTAGCTCTTCTAGCAGCTCCAGACTTCATTCTCTGGTACTTTCACCCAGTAAGACTGCAGCTTTTTACAAGAGCTCTGTCCCCTCTTCTGTCCCCTGCCTGTACACAACAGACTGTGTAGTTGTCTTAGGAAGGAAGAAGGGTAAGTGTGGGCCTCATTCATTGTATTCCCCTTCTTTCAAGAGTCATATCACCCCTACCTAGTTTGTATCTGCTTTTGTTTCCTTGACAATGTCTTCAAATGGTGTTTTTATAAATACATATTTTTAAAAAGTTTATAATTGTTGTCAGCAGGAAAATTAGTGTAGTATAAACTACTCTCATTACTGAAAATCTCTATGTTAAAAATTACTTTAAAATATTATTATTTATCATTTCCTTGGTGTTTAGGGCAGAAGGGAAATGCACAGGATTTTTCTGAACTTCTCATTAAGGGAGGCAACCCAGCCTTGGTCTGGAGATCCTGAAATTATATTGTATGCGTAACAAAATAATTATTTTGTTATTTTTATGGGCTTAGCATTAATAAATTAAATATTTAGTAAGATCTGTATCTCAGGACTTTTCTGCCTGCTGAGAATAGGTTGTTTGACAAGGCAGATGAGGTTCTTTTATGAGTTATAATGTATTGAAGCCTGTAATTTAGTAGTGGAAGGAGCACATAGCAAGAGTTGTATGATGAGGTTGGAAAGGTAGACAGCAAACAAATAATGTAGGACTCATGGAATTTTAGTCTAAACATTCTTAAAATATGAGGGTGGCTCCTGTGTGGAGATTATGTAATTGGGAGGCAAAGTAGACTTAGGGAAAATAGGAGGACATTGCAATAGTTCAAGAGTGAAATAATAGCTGCTTACCGTATGATGGTAGTTGTGGAGAAAAAAGCCAATGGATTTGAAATATAGTTTGGAAGTAAAACTATATCAGTACATATTGATGGATTGGATAATGGGGTGAAAGAAAGAGAAGAATAAAGGTTGACCAAATTTTTATTACAAAGTATGAGAGCTTGTTAGGACCTCTCTTCTGTTCATATTTTCTTTCTTGCTCAGTAAGAAAACAGTTCAAAGCACTTTTTCCCCAATAACTTATATCTTCTTCTTTTGTGATAAAAGTACATTTTAAAATGAGTGGTCTTTAGAGTGTAATATAAAATTCTTTTACATTTCACCTCACCATATTTAGGTTTACCAAAGTAGCATATGAATAATTGTAGGAAAAAATGTATATCTACTTGGACTATAAAAATTTGATATACTGAACAAAGTAAATCAAAATGGCTAAATCACATGGATATTAAATGTATTTCAAATGTATTTTATATTCTTAGCTGCTTCTTTAGACCACTCCACTGCCTTTTGGGACATTTCTGTGGAAAAGTTGAGAAGCACTTGACCTATCTAAACCTGTCAGTCCAGCCAAACTTGTCTCTACTTTGTTCTAGGAACATGCTGTGTACATTCCTCTTTCCATGTTTTTCATGCTTTTCTCCCTGCCAGTAATGCCCTGTTTTTTTTCATTACTTGTCAAAATTCTATTTTTCTTTTAAGATCCAGCGTATGTTTTTATTGTTGTGTGAAACTTCTAAAACTTTCTTTGTTTTTAGTAATGATGATAATTTTATTCTTGTCACTTTGTAGCACTTAATTTTTAAAATTTATTTTGTACTTAGATGATGTATAATTTACTATAAATCATAGATTTTTAAGAGCTGGGATGAATGGCTGAGATTTAATTAGTTATACAAGTGAAAAAGCTGAGATTGATTTTTCATGTAACTAGTTTGCAATAAGAAAGGATGAAAACTTATTTTTGGGTCTCTTGGCTCCCAGTTTAGTAATTTTTCTAATCTGCGTTACTTCTTGATGCATATTTATTGATCTGAAAAATTGTATCTCTTAGAATTACTAGTATACAACTAAATTTTGAAAATATTAACTTTTAAAATGTGATATTTAAAGTACTGGTTTTCCAGTTTTCGTGTACAGATGGATTAAAATTTATTATAAATTTTATTTACTCTTTTTTTTTTGGTAGGGACAGGTTCTCACAATGTTGCCCAGGCTGGACTTGAACTCCTGGGCTCAAGTGGTGCTCTCAACTCGGCTTCCCAAAGTGCTGGGATTACAGGTGTGAGCCACTGTACCCAGCCTCTTATTTACTCTTTATTCAACTGATTTATTAATCAACACATGCTGATGAAACTTAGTTATAGCTTTTATTTACTCTTCATTTATTCAGCAACTTTCATGTGTCAGAGAGTATCCTAGGCACTGAGTGCAGTAGTAAATAATATATCAAGGTTCTTGCCTTCAGGAAACTTTCATTCTGGTGGTACAAGACGTTGAGCAAAACCAAACTCTAATCTATGGTGGGAAAATATCTGAACAGCTGTGGCCACTTGGGTGATCAGAGCAGGGATTGTTGGAGAAGGAGCATGAAAGAACTTTCTGGGATGCTGATAGTTTCTTAG